GAAGCTTCAAAAGTTAGGTTTTGAAGGCAAGAATGCCACTGAACTCATACAGATAGCCCACAAAGTGTTCATTAACCAAGAGGAGGAAGCTAAAAGAGAGATTAGGACGGAAGCTAATCAAAAGCTTAAAAGTAAAGCCGATCTGCTAGTGGCACCTCTCACAGAAAGCAGGAAAAATGTCACAAGAGGACATGGACATGGTGTTGGATGAGGGAGAAGTTCCACTCGGGAGGATTTTGAAAATCGGCCTAAGTTAGAGAAAGATCAGTGTGCGTGGTGCAAACAGAAAGGACATTGAAAAAATGGGTGCCCAGAAAGAGAGGTGGGTGACAGTTATGAAGTTCAGAAAAAGACAGAATCAGAAGGCAAGCCACCACACCCCAGATGATCAGGACGCCAACCTAACCAGCTTAGCAGGAGCCGAGGGTTATGAGGACTGAGACAGATGGGGCTCCATTTCTTCAGGCGCCTAGGAGCCTGTGGTCAGAATGGAGGTAGGGGGCCAAGAGATAGATTTTATGATAGACACAGGTGCCGAACATAAAACATATGTCACTTATAATTGGAGCCACTGGAGTGACAGAGAAGAGGCCTTTTTGCCGGTCAAGGAGGTGTGTTATTGGAGGATAGGAAGTTCAGCATGAATTTCTACACCTCTCAAATTGTCTGGTCCCCTTGCTAGGAAGAGACCTGCTCCAAAAATTGCAGGCGCAAATCTCCTTTAAACCAGAAGGGAATGTGACTTTAGACTTCACCCAACCAAAGGCAATGGTGCTAGCCCTAACTGTGCCACAGGCTGAGGAAGGGAGGCTGTATACTAAGATGACACAAGTGCCAAACTGCTTCATATCGCCAGAGGAGGGAACCATATTGGCTAGACTAGTAAATGAATTCCTGGAGGTCTGGGCTGAAAATAACCCGCTTGTGTTGGCTGTAAATCATGCTCCAGTTGTAATAAAATTAAAACCAGGTGCCACCCCCATCCAGCTTTGCCAATACCCACTGCCTCAAGAAGCCATTAGAGGAATATGGAAACACATAGACCGACTTCAGAGTCATGGCATTCTAGTGCCATGCCAGTCACCCTGGAATACTTTACTCCTACTGGTGGCAGAAGCCAACAGAAAAACCTCATATTCCAGGAGTATATAGCTGTAGTAATTGTCCCAATGGGGCAATTTTCAGCTCACTGGGACCAGACTTCCACAGTGGTTTAAAAACTCCCCCACAATTTTTGGAGATGATGCATTAGTGATAGACCTTAAAGCTTACAACTCCCCCAAAGAGTGTGTCATGTGGCAGTACGTGGAAGATGATCTCCTAGCAGCCCCTACTCTAAAAGTCTGCTCCACTTATTACAGAAAGCAAGATATAAAGTATGAAGGAAAAAGACTCAAGTCAGCCTGACAAGTGTCAGTTACCTAGGATTCAGCATAAATCAAGGAAAGTGGAGCCTAGGTATGGCCCAGATAAAGGCTGCTTGAAACCTTCCAACCCCAACCTGCAGGCACCATGTAAGAGAGTTTTTAGGAGCAGCGAGGTTTTGCCACATCTGGATTCCAAACTTCTCACTCATAGCAAAGCCACCCTTATATGAAGCCACAAAAGGTGTGGGGGAGAGCCTTTCCTTTGCAGAACTGAGCAGGAGAAGGCATTTGAACAGGTAAAGCAAGCCTTAACTGAGGCCCCAGCTCTAGGACTACCAGACATGGCCAAGCCTTTCTATTTGTATATTCAAGAGTGGAAAGAATAGCCATCAGAGTCTTAACCAGGGTCCTAGGGTCATGGCACTGCCCGGTGGCCTGTCTATCCAAACAATTAGATGTGGTGGCACGAGGACGGCCCCCCTACCTTAAGGGACTAGCTGCCACAGCTATGTTAGTATGAGAAGCAGACAGATTAACTTTAGGGCAGCATCTGACTGTGTGGGTGAGCATCCGGTCCTAACTCTAATGGATCAAAGGGGACACCACTGACTGTCAGACCCAAGAATGACTCAGTACCAAGGGTTCCTATGTGAGAACTCACAAAACTTTAGAAACTGTAAAGACCCTCAACCCAGCTACCTTGTTCCCCATAGAGCCAGAAGCCCCACTCCATGACTGTCTAGAAACAGTAGATGAAGTATTCTCAAGTCAGAACTTACAGATCGCCCTCTCCAGGAACCAGATGGGAGCAGTTTCGTAGCAGGAGGGACCAGTGGGCTGGGTACTCAGTGGTAACCCTAGTCTCAGTAGTAGAAGCTTAATGTTTGCCGTAACAACTATGAGACTGTGTGTCTGTGTGCATGTTGTTTATAAGTATATGGTATACTTGGCTGGGCACAGTGGCTCATGCCTGTAATCCCAGCACTTTGAGAGGCCAAGGCAGGTGGATCACCTGAGGTCAGGAGTTCAAGATCAGCCTGGCCAACATGGTGAAACCCTGTCTCTACTAAAAACACAAGAAGTAGCTGGGCATGGTGGCAGGCACCTGTATTCCCAGCTACTTGGAAGGCTGAGGCAGGAAAATCGCTTGAACCTGGGAGGCAGAGTTTGCAGTGAGCCAAGACCTTGCCATTGCATGGGCAACAAAAGTGAAATTCTGTCTCAAAAAAAAAAAGAAAAAAAAACTGTATACTTATGAAAGACACATAAATTACATATGTTAAGAGTAAGGACAAGCTGGGGTCTGTGACCTCAAGCTGGAGCCCAGGATGGGCTGAAACCCCTTTGCTGCCCTACAGGAGAAGCTGGAGCCTTTAGTCTTGGAGCTGAAGGAGCCAGAGGAAGATATGGCAGCTGTTGCCTTATGTAGCCCAGGTGAACCAGCAGATACACTGGCACCTGCCCAGACCTTCTGTAGCTCTTACTACCTCTGGACACACTAGGTAATTCTTACATTTATTCTGCATATTGCCTGCTGTCCCTATTCACATGTATGGTCCAGGAGGGCATGAGTTAGGCATGCTGCGTGTTCACTGATGTAGCCCCAGCACTTAGTGCTTAGCACAAGCACTGAATAAACATTGTGCTGTTGAAGCACAAAGACAGTGACAGAGACACAGAAGGGAAGTGCTAGAAAGGATGTCAGTTGTTAAATCTAAGTGAAGGGCATGAAGGTATTTATTGTATTATTCTTTCAACCTTTATGAATGCATGAACATTTGCAAAATAAAAAAGTTGTGGAGGAGGGAAAAAAAAAACAAAAACCAGGATGCACTGAGGTCTGAGGTGAAGGTCCTAGGAGCAACAGTTCTCTGTTGAGGTCAAGGTTCCTGGGACAGAGCTTGATCCCTGTCAACTGGTAAAACAATCCAGGACAATCCAGTAATAAAGCTGAATTTCAGTTACCTTGGTCCTGAACTTCACAGCCCCTTAGCAGTGGGAATCCTGTGACACCAAGTTGTGTGTAACCACAGGGCTGACCTAAACTGATCCTATTCTGTTGGTAACAGGAGGTATAGCAGGGCCAAAACTGAAAGTCATGTGACCTGGGCATACACAGAGGAGGAAAATCATAACTCCGAACCAACGTTTCCTCCCTGAGGAGCCAAGAAGACAGGAACATGACGGGAGCTTGAGTGGCAGAACGCTTTCAGAAAGGAAGAGTACATCATTCTGGAAGATCTGGTGCTGAAACCTGCCATTCCACACTTTACCATAAATGGCCAAGTTTAAAGCCCCGTATTGAAACCTTTCTGCCAGGACTTCTGCGTACCAACCTATCCTCCCTAACCCATCAAGTTTGACCTAAGCCCAGACGTGGGAGACACATTTGAGCCGTGCCTACGGTCTCCTTGGCCGTCGACCTCAAAATAATAAAGCCTTCTCTTTTCTCAGAAACTGGTGCCATATTATCTAGTGCGCCAGGCAGCAGGTCCATTACTCAGAAACGCGCGTAGTGGATGGAAGCCCCGTGAGGCGGGAACCGGTGCCCACAAGGGCTGTGAAGACGTTCGCTAAAGCGCAGCACAGACTTGGCGTTTGCCTGGTGCGGGGCAACTATGGAATTATCACTACATCCCCCCCCCGCCCGGCCGCTGCTTCCAACAGCGTGGGCAGGGCACTTGCCTTGAGCCCACCCCCCAGCCTTAGGCCTTCGCCGCCGCCCCAGCCCCGCCCTGTGGAGAAGCCTAGTGAGAGGCTGGGCCAGGCCACGCGCCGGTTGGACGAGGCGGACCTGGCCTTCGGGAGTGGGGGAAATGCCTATCGGAAGGTGGACTAGGCCGCCGGCCCTCCCCTCTTCTGGCCCGGCTCCAAACCAGATCCACCCTCCCTGCAGCGGCTGTCAGGTGCAAGCCTCCACGCGGGTGAGGCCCGCGCCCTCCTAAGGCCTCCACCCTCCCCCAGGTGCGCGGTGTAAACAAACCAAAAAGCAAACCCAAGGGCCGAGTGGACGACGGAGGCGGTCACTGTTCGGTGACGCCCGCCTGCAGGGACCACGCCGGCCCGGGCACAGCGATGAAGGGCTGCGCCTCGGACCTCGTGGCGCTCAGCCTCATAAGTGGGCAAAATAACCACGCAAGTCACCGAACAAGAAGACTTCAGTGTTGCAACTGAGAGAAAGGGCCCCTGAGCAGGCGACACCCGCGCTGCAGCGGCGCAGGGACCAGCCAGGAGACTGAGGACAAGATCGTTCTCAGCAGCGGGGACCGCAAAGGCGGGGAACGAGCTCGAGTTCCGGGAGGGCCGAAGCCAGCGCAAGCCGAGGAGGGGCTGTTGGGCAAGCAGGGGTGTCCCCCAGACAGCGACCGCAGCAGAAGCTCGAGAACCCGGACTGCGAGCGGGTAAGGCTCGGCGGCGGGCTGTAGCCTTCGCGCCCGGAAGTAGAGAAGGAGACCCGGCCGGGTCCATTTCCCTGAGCAGCTCGGCCCCTCTAGGGATCGCGGAGGCCTGGCTCTCGCTGGCTCTTGAGAGCAGGCTACAGTCGGTCACCGAGGGAGGCTTCGGACCGGGAGGCGGGCCAAATGACGTAAACAGCGTTGCCCTCCAGGATTGGTGGACCCGGCTGTGGAGGCGGAAACTGAGAGGCAAGAGCCCCCAGGGATTGGTGGCTGCGCAGACGGGGCGGGGCAGCCCTTTGTCTGAGGGTGCTGCGGGCTCCCGTCACTTCGCGCGTGAGGCTGCGGCGTGGACGGTGAGTGGGGGGTGCGTGTCGGCGCCGGGCCGGCCGGGACCCTTTCCCATCACTGACACCCGAGCCGGCGTGTCCTCCACTCGGATCGTGAACTCTTCCCCTCGGGCACGCACTGCCGCTCCGTTGGCGCTGGTCCGCTCCCCTCACGGACGCCCGGCGGCCTCCTCCCCAGGGCCAAGACCGCGCCCTCTCCCCCGTTCGGGGTTCCCATCCTTCCTCTGGCCCGGCCTTGGACCCCTTCGGGCCCTCCCACGCCACCGCCTGCCTAGGAAGGCTTCGGTCCCTTCCGCGCCCTTCCCCCCTTGGGCTCTCTCAGACCCCCAACGTTTCTCCCATTTTGGATTTTCTCAGACCGCCCCGCGTCCCTCCCACCTTGGATCTTCTCAGATCCCCGGCGTTCCTCCCCCCTCGGGCCCTCCCGAGCCATTTCTACCGGGCGCCGTACCTCGGGCCAGGTTGGCGGGAGTCCTAGGGGACCCCCCCGCCCCGGGCCGCTCTTCTTGCCGCACTCCCCCGGGTCTTGGTGGAGAGGATGGAGCCGACTTGTTCCCTGGGTTGGGCCCGGAAAAGGTTGGGGAGCTTCCCCAAAAAATAAAAATTCAGGTTTTTCTGTTTTATGCAAAACCTGAGGAGCCCCATGAAGACCCCGGCGACGCACCGGGAGCGCCACTTTATTTAGCAATAAAAAGTCTTCCCGCGTCGAGACGAAAACGAGCTGCTTTCGTCTCAGCTGTTGGTCGAGTGTTCTACTTGCCGAATGTCTTATTCTCCCCCTATATTGCTATTGATGCTGTCTTTTCTGTTACTTTGTCAGAGCCCTATTTTAATGAATGAGCCCAACTCTTTGGAACACAGCAAATATGTTCCTTCTTGTTTACTGGCTTAATTTTTTAATTGAAAATAATATGCAATACTTCTTCTAATCCAGCCATATCTGAAAAGTATAAAAGTCACCCACCTTCATACACTGCTAGTGTATGAAGAGGCAGGGACTGTGAAGAGTTTCAGAATTTTTGATTGCCGTTACAGCTCTAGGCAGGCGCGCACACCCTTTTTTCTGTCAACATTAAAGAGAAGCTGGTGTCGTTTGGACTAACACCGGGGACGGCAGGGGGCGCTCCACTCGTGCTCCGCCGAGTCGGTACTCAGATTTTTCGGTTAGTAACTGTCTTCTGGACATCGGTTTCTGTGTCAGGCGGACTCTGTGAGGTGGGTAAGGGTGGGAGATTGCCATTGACATTCCCGCCCCATACAGGGCTGTGGTCCAGTGTGCTTGACAGGTCCCTGCATTCCTGCCAGGTCGACGTTTTTCGTTTATTGGTGAGGTTAAAATCCCTTCGTTTGTGTTTTAAACGTTTGTATTTCTTTGCGATTTTCCAGCTCATATTCTTTTCCATGTATGTTGAAAACATACTTCTCAATTTGTCTTTTGACTGTGATTATGGTGTTTGGTTCTGGTTTGGGCTTTTCGAAATAGAAAATTTTAAATTTTTGTGAGTCAAATATTTTCCCTTAAGGCATTTTGGGCTTTGTGCTGCGTTTTAAAGGGCTTTCCCCACTCCAAGATTATTTTTTAAATAAACTCCTGTTTTTCTGTGGTACTTGTAAAATGTTGGATACATCTGGAATTTATTTTCTTATGGGGTGAGTTTGGAATCCAGCTTCGTTTTTTTTTCCCTAAATCATAGCCATTTCTAACACCATTGATCTCTCCATTGATTTGAAAAACCACCTTTGTCATATCCTAAATTGTTGCACGCCTTTAGGTCCATTTCTGGAGTTTGGTAGCTTTGATGCACATGCGATTTTGATTCATAAGCTGCAGATCTATGGATCTCTGTCCCTAGTCTTTCTGCTTTTGGTATTTTGCTTAGAACAGCCCTTCCCACATAAAATAATAAAAATATACCTGTATTTTTATTAAAGGTCTTTTTAAATTTAATATAATTATACATATTTATGGGGTATATGTGATATTTTGATACAAGGATACAGTGTATAATGATCAAATCAGGGTAATTAGGATATCTGTCACCTCAAACATTTATCATTTTTTGTGTTGGAAACATTTCACATCTCTTCTTCTGATTTTGAAATATATAACAAATTACTAACTTTCGTCAATTTACTGTGCTATCAAACACTGGAACTTATTCATTGTATCTGACTGTATGTTGTAATCATTAACCTACCTCTATTCATCTCACACCTCCCCCTCAACCCCACCCTTCCCATCCTCTGGTAACCATCATTCTACTCTCTACCTCCAGGAGACCAACTTTTTTAGTTCCCACATATGAGTGGAAACATGCAATATTTGTCTTTCGGTACCTTGCTTATGTCAGCTAATATAATGACCTCCAGTTCCCTCCCTGTTGCTGCAAATGACATCTTTTTTTCTTTTTTTTTAAGATGGAGGCTAGAAGTGGCGTGATCTCAGCTCACTGCAACCTCCGCCTCCCAGGTTCAAGCAGTTCTCCTGCCTCCTGAGTAGTGGGATTACAGGTGTGCAGCACCATGCCCAGCTAATTTTTGTGTTTTTCATACAGATGGGGTTTCACCATGTCAGGCTGGTCTCAAACTCCTGACCTTGTGATCCACCCACTTCGGCCTCCCAAAGTGCTGGGATTACAGATGTGAGCCACCACACCTGGCCAACTTTCTTATTTTTATAGCTGAATCATATTCCATTGTGTACATATACCACATTTTCATTATCCATTTATTTGATGTACATTTAGATTGATTCCACATCTTAGCTATTGTGACTATTGCCGCAGTCAACATGTACGTTCAGGTATCTCTTTGATATACTGACTTCCTTTCTTTTGTGTATATACCCAGCAGTGGAATTGCTGGATCATATGGTGGATCTATTTTTAGTTTTTTTTTCATATGCCTGTTGGTCATACATATTGTATTTCTTTTTTTGATAAATTATTCAGATCATTCACCTGTTTTTAAATCAGATTAGTTGTTTATTAAATTGTTTTGCTCCCTTTTGCATTCTGGTTATTAATCCCTTGTTGGATGGATAGTTTGTAAATATTTTCTCCCATTCTGTAAATTGTCTCTTCATTCTGCTAATTGTTTCCTTTCCTTTGCAGAAACCTTTTAGCTTGGTGTAATCCCATTGGTCTAGTTTGCTTTTGTTGCCTGTGCTTTTGAGATCTAACCCAGAAAATGTTTTCCCAGACCAGCATCCACAAGTGTTTCCCTGATGTTTTACAGTTTTCTTTATAGGGATCCTATGCATTTCTAAGGTTTAATCTTGTTTCTTGTTGCTATTTGTTGCATACATTTTTTTTTCCCTTCACATTTTCTGACTAGGTGTTGCTGGTGTATAAGAAAGCTATCAATTTGGGTTTTTGTTTTGTTTTGTTTTTCATTTTTTGAGATAGAGTCTCACTCTATTCCCCAGGCTGGAGTGCAATGGCATGATCTTGGCTCACTGCAAACTCCACCTCCTGGGTTCAAGCAATTCTCATGCCTCAGCCTCCAGGGGAGCTGGGATTTACAGGCACATGCCATCACACCTGACTAATTTTTGTATTTTTAGTAGAGATGGGGTTTTACCATGTCGCCCAGGCTGGTCTTGAACTCCTGACCTCAGGTGATCCGCCCACCTTGGCCTCCCAAAGTGCTGGGATTACAGGCGTGAGCCACCACACTCAGCCAGAAAGGTATCAATTTGGATACATATTTATGATCATTAATTCTGGAAAGGTTGCAAGTTAGGGTTAGTTTAGGTTAGTTAGGTTAGATTAGGTCAACTTTTTTGCATTGTGCTCACAGGTGGCTCAGAAGCCTCCTGTCTTGAACGTGCTTTCAACTTAGTGGATAAGGGGCTTCTTGGTGATGAAGAGGGAGCAGTGCTTGTTAGCAGAAAGTCCAGGGAGTGAGGATGATGAGAAGCAGAAGAAGCCAGTGGCTCTGGAGGAGATCCTGGCAGCTCACCCCAGACCAGGAGACTCCAAATGTGCCTGAACCAGTTTGTCACCATGTGCAAGGTCCTCTGGAATGACAGGCATACTGCTTTGTCACATTGAGACAGGAGTTCCAAAAAGAGTGATAGGAGTGTCTCACTGCCATGTCGCTTTTGATCACCTAAAGAAAACTGGAAAGCCAGTTGCTAACAACATTGATCTAGGTTTTTGTTTTGGATTATTCTCTAGGGAAATTTTCAAATTTGAAATTCCTGAGTTTGTAAAATGAACTCCATGCTGCCACTTTTGTGACCAGTGGGTGGGTAGGATCATTGTTTAGCCAGTGCCCTGAGTGGGTGTTCTTTATATTGCCCAATGTTAGCTGTTGGCATGGCCTCAAGAGGGGGGGGGTCTTCAAACTCCACTTCCAGTATTCTGGCGTGGTGATTTCTAGCCTGTCCCAGCCCCTGGCCCTGAAGCCTGGCATCTATAGAGGACTTGTCATGAGCCTGTCTTTTAATTTTTAAAAACTGTCCACATTCTCCTTCCCTGCCTGAACTGTGTTTTTTGTTTTTTTGTTTTTTTGAACTGTGTTCTTATGGAGCAAAGATTGGAGTTGGGCCTCAGAATCCCGGGGATGAAGTAGGGATGGAGTGTGTTGTTAAAAGATGGTTTCTGGCACCCCAGATAGTTCTGTGTATGCAAGGTTTAGGTTGAGGCCCATGGTGTTTGCTTGTCTTGGTATCCTGTTGCAGGCTTGTTCCAGGAAACCGAAACCGTTATCTGCCATAGCGTAAGTAAGGAAAAAAATTAAACTAGTTTATACCACTTTTAAACATTTTAAAATGTATTTTGTTCATATATATATGTTTTAAGATTTTTATTTATTTATGTATTTTGTAAGGCCGGGTTTCATTCTGTTGCCCAGATTGGAGTGTAGTGGTGCAGTCACAGCTTACTAGAGCCCTGACCTCCTGGGCTCAAGCAATCCTCCCACCTCAACCTCCAGAGTAGCTGGGACTATAGACCAGCTAATTTTTTTGTTGGTTTGTTTTGGTAGAGATGGGATCTTGCTATATTGTCCAGGGTGGTCTTGAACTCCTGAGCTCAAGCGATTCTCCTACCTTGGCACTCTAAAGTACTGGGATTATAGGTGTGAGTCACCATGCCTGGCCCATTTTCTTCATTTTTTACCAGAATACAATCATACTTTGTGATGTGGTTTTCTTTTTTTAATTAGCAATATGTGAAGGTCATCTTTTAGTAGAGACCTGATACAGCATTTCGTGTTTATGCTTTTCTAAGACTCACCCCAGGTAGCAATTTTTCCCTTTTTTTTTTTTTTTTTTTTTTTTTTTTNTTTTTGAGACAGAGTCTCGCTCTTTCACCAGGCACAAGGCTGGAGTGCAGTGGCCCCATCTTGGCTCACTGCAACCTCTGCCTCCCAGGTTCAGGCAATTCTCCTGCCTCAGCCTCCCAAGTAGCTGGGACTACAGTCACGTGCCACCACACTCAGCTAATTTTTGCATTTTAGTGGAGACAGGGTTTCACTATGTTGGCCAGGATGGTCTCAATCTCTTGACCTCGTGATCCGCCCATCTCGGCCTCCCAAAGTGCTGGGATTACAGGTATGAGCCACCACGCCCTGCCACAATCTTTCCCTTTCACTTCTCCCTGCCACACACTTGTTAACAGACTGGTATTGTCCTTTGGAATTTTTCCTCTGTGTGTTAATTTAATCAAATAGATAATACCTTATCCAGCAGCATCCACCTCTGAGCCAGGGCTGTTCTATGAGATCTCCTCTCTAGGCCTTCAGAGGAGTGTGTCATCTCCTGGATTTACAGGTGTGGCCTCAGTGCAGCTGGCCCAAGTGAGGCAGATGAACCAGTCCCAGGTACCTGTGACACACATACCCTTTGTGGGCTTGGGGTCATAGTTTACAAAATGAAATCATCCCCTGCATGCCGACCCCATGCTGCATTTTCACTTATCCATCTGGCGACCTGACACAGCACACGTTTCTCTTTAGCAGATATGTCACTTGTATGTAAAAGGACCAATGTGGCATTTGCCTCAGCAACATTTTTGAATCTGCACCCTCACCCACATCCATTCTTATAAGACACCCACTATCCAAGGGCCAATCTGATTTGCCTAAATACTGTTAGGTAGCTTTCAGTATAAAATTGAGAAAGAGTATGAGAAACTCTACTTTCCCACACCTGCCAGTGGCAAGTGTTGACTCCTTACTTGCTATTACAAATGGCATAAAATGTGAGCTCATTGCTCTTTATTAATTTATTCAACAAACAGGCCAGGTGTGGTGGCTCAGGCCTGTAATCTTGACACTTTTGGAGGCCAAGGAGGGAGAATCTCTTGAGCCCAGGAGTTCAAGACCAGTCTGGGCAACATAGCAAGACCTCATCTCTACCAAAAAAAAAAAAAAAAAAAATTAAGAAATTATCCAGGCATGGTGATGCATACCTGTAGTCCTAGCTACTTGGGAGGCTGAAGTGGGAGGGTCGCCTGAGTGCAGGAGTTGGAGGCTCCAGTGAGCTATGATTAAGCCACTGTACTCCAGCCTGGACTACAAGTGAGACCCTGTCTCTAAGAAATCAATTAATTAAAAGTTTTTAAAAGCACATTGCCTGGCAATTTTTAATCATTAGCCTAGAAGTAATTTAAAAAAAAAAAAAAAAAAAGTCAACCGCTGGGTGGAGCCAGGGCTGCTTGTGGTGGGTGGGGCAGAGGTCTCTGAGAGATGGATGGGGAGCACAGGTCACGGGATAAAGGGTTGCAGGGCTCTGAGGTAAATCACAAAGATTGGGGCAGGCTCATAGGAGCCATTGGGGTCCTGGGAGGACCTTGGAGCAGAGGACAGTAACTGTATTCTCTCAGGAAGGTAGATGGAGGGGCTGGGCTGACAGACTTGTTGGGAGCTGCTGAACATCTAGGATTGGTGGTCATGGGGCAGGGAGGGCAAGATGGGCAACGTGGTTAGGTTCTTGATGTGCTTAGAAGATGAATTAGAAATGAGGTGTGAGAATGAAGAAGGAAGGAGACTTATGTACAGGTTCACAGACCAAGCTGGGGGCAGAAATGGTGGTAGAGGGGGTGCTCGGTTTGGGATGTTAAATGTCTTGAGATGCTATGTGACACCCATATTGAAATGTTGAGTCAGAGGGAAGGGGGATCACCAGCTCAAGTGTACCAAAAGAGCTACTGGGCTCAACTGACTTTTCAGACTCACAGGACAACCATGCCTAGCAGCAGGTTCATGGAAAAGCTGACTAGCCTCATCCAGCAGGCATCCAGGGAGTACTCAGGTGCATAAACACAAGATGCAGGTAGGAGAAGGAGTTAGCCTTGGTCGAAGGCCTCGTGGTCACACAAGCCAATACCTCCTGTGTCAGGAGAACTGGCTACAAGATCTGCTTGGGAGGCCCTGAGTCTAGTTCCCGTGGTTGTTCATCATTGAGTCCCATCCCAGGTGTGGTTGGGCCATAGAGAGAATAACCATCCACCTCTGCCAGGTTTCCAGAGGACCAGAGTTGTGCATTCACCAGAGGTCAAATTCACATGCAGGGCTAGGCACAGTGACTCACACCTGCAATTCCAGCACTTTGGGAGGCCAAGGGGGGCAGATGACTTGAGCTCAGGAGTTCAAGACAGCCTGGGCAACATGGTGAAATCCCGTCTCTACAAAAAATGCAAAAATTAGCCGGGCATGGAGGCAGGTACCTGTAGTCCCAGCTACTCAGGAGGCTGAGGCAAGAGAATCGCTTAAACTCGGAAGGCAGAGGTTGCGGTGAGCCAAGATCGCGTCGTTGCACTCCAGCCTGAGCAACAAGAGCAAAACTCTCTCAAAAAAAAAAAAAAAAAAAAAAGAATTGCATTGCACTTCCACAGAAATGTACATGCACACACACATTTGGAGGGAATGGGCAGTTTTGGAGAATAGCAGCACAAGAGAGGGTTGAGAGCCTCTCTCCACCATGTTTCGCCGTCCTGTGCTTCAGAGGCAAGCAGCTGATAGTTTATTGTGTATCTTCCTGAAAGTTGTCTATGCAAATATATACATATATCTGATGTGGGTTTTTGTTTTGCTTTGTTTTGTTTTTTGAGACAGAGTCTCACTCTGTTGCCCAGGCTGGAGTGTAGTGGCATGGTCTTGGCTCACTGCGACCTCTGCCTCCTGGGTACAAATGATTCTCCTGCCTTAGCCTCCTGAGTAGCTGGGATTACAGGCACCTGCCACCACACCCAGCTGATTTTGTATTTTTAGTAGAGACAGGGTTTCACCATGTTGGCTAGGCTGGTCTCCAACTCCTGACCTCAGATGATCCACCTGCCTCGGCCTCCCAAAGTGCTGGGATTACAGGCATGAGCCACCACGCCCGGCCTATATATGATGTTTTATAGACAATGGGATTGTGATGTCCCTTGACTCCTGCCCCCAGGCCCTTTCCTCCTGGCAGCCCTGACACCTGTTGTGTCACTCTTGAAGTATCCTGTTTGTTGTGGTGCCCAACTGAGCCAAGCATGTGAGCGTGTTGGTTGCTTTCTTGTACCATGTTTTTCTGGAGTATTTCTGCCTTTGGTCACCTGCATGGTTTCTGTGTCCCTGTCACAGACTCTTTGATGCTCTAAAGACTGCGAACAATATCCTGTACAGGGCCAAATGTGTCAGGAAAGCTCTTGCCCCTGCTCCCCTTTTTTCCCCAGCCATTTGGGTGTGTGTCAGACGCTTTTGCTTACCTTGTCCTGCTACATTCCAGCACTGGCCCAACTACTCCAAGCATTTCCTTCTCACTTGATGACAAGTCTTCCTTCAAGTGCTCAGACCAGATCCCTGGGCCACTGCTGACTCATTTTGTCCAGAACTGACCACTTCTCCTGCCTACCCTTTGAATACCCTTGTTGAACCACAAGGTTGAGAGCCTCCACCACATCAGAGCACCAGGGCTGCCTAAGGGTGGGGTTGGGGGGAGTCTTATTGTCACCCTGGTGGCCAAGCCTTTCTTAATTGGGACGGTGTTTGGGGAAGCAGCTTGGTCTGATGCCTGTATCCCTCACGTGACCTGGGGACAGTCTGGTTTTTGTGTGAGTGCCTCAGGTATGAACACACAGGGCCCTGGTGAGCTGGTATCCTTGTGTGTGGGGAGGACCATTGGCCGTGACCAAGGTGCAGCAAGTGCCTTGCACCTGGTGTTCAGAGAGCCCAGTACTGGCTGGGCAGGACCAGGAACTATGTGTTCAGGGCCTGGACAGGCTTGGGGGAGGCAAGACAGAGCAAGGCTGCAACAGTAGCAGCTCCTTGCACCTTACCTCAGTGTGCCCCTCATTGACTCTAAATGAGGCCCAGGGGTCCCCTGAGGGTCCCCCAGGAAATTAAGGTCTCAAGGTCATACCCCTCTCTTGTCCCTTCCTCAGCCCCACAGGCTCCTTCAATTTCTGTGATTCTCAGAGGCCCCAGGAGACCAGGTGATGGCAGCAGCCAGGCTCCTGCCAGTGCCTGCAGGACCCCAGGTAAGCTTTCCCCAATACCTGTGCAGTGCCCCCAGCCAGAGCCCTGTGGTTCCTTCCATGCCCCATAGCTCCTGAGAGCAGCCAGAGCATCACTGCATTCCCTGAACTCTATGGCACCTCCCCATTACCTACCTCAGCTCACAGAGCCCCCCCATTGCCAACTGCTCATGTCACATGCACCCACTCCCTGTCACAGAGGTCAGGATTTGATCTTACCTGCAGCAGCCCCTGTCGTTTCAGGCCAAGTTAACCTTCGAGGATGTGGCTGTGCTCCTCTCCCAGGATGAATGGGACCGCCTGGGTCCTGCTCAGAGGGGCCTGTACAGAAATGTGATGATGGAAACCTATGGGAATGTAGTCTCACTGGGTAAGGCCCCTTAGCAGGCCTTGTCTGTGTATCTGTGTGTTGGACTGGGGTGGGGGCTTCCCAGGGTGGGGGGCCTGGGGCAGGCTGGTCCTGGAGGTTTGCTCTCATCACCTCTCTGGGTGCTCATCTCCAGCAGAACATCAGTCCTGTCCATTTTCATGTCCCCACAAGTGGCTTGGGCAGGGGGCGGGGGGGGTGCTCTGTAAATGTTGTATAAACGAAGACTTCCCTCTCCATGAGCAGGACTTCCAATATCCAAGCCTGACTTAATCTCCCAGCTGGAGCGAGGGGAAGATCCCTGGGTCCTGGATGGGAAGGGGGCTAAGGAGAGCCAGGGCCTGTGGAGTGGCTGCTCAGGTGAGTAAGGAGAGCTGTCCCCTCCTTCACTGAGGGCTAAACATGTCCTCAGCACAGCTGTGGACCTAGTTTAGACTGAGCTGCTGACTGCAGTGGCTTCCACCTGGGGTAAAACCTGTCCAGCCTTATCTGGCAAAGGAGTCTGTTGTCTGGGGGTTGCTGAGTCAGGCAGTAGTCCATGGCCAGAAGTGAGCATAGCGGTGAATTTCAACAAGCTGTTGTGCAGAGCCATATAGAGGAAATTACGGCATGGCTGCAGTGATTCTGTCCCTGACCAGAGGGACTGGTTAGCCAAATTTGGTCCTAATGGGACATTCAGGGTTTGAGAGTTACCTGATGATTTAGCAAAGAACAAAGTATCCTAAATGAAGAAAGGAAGTGTCTCAGCCTGCCACTCAGGGTGAAATGCTGAAAGCACAGTACACTGTTTCATCTCAAGAACAAGACAAAGGAACCCACATCCCCATGTCCATATAACATTCTACTGGGCGTCCCATGTATGAAATAATGCAAAACCAAAGCTATAAGAATTGGAAAGAAGAAAAGCATTGTTTGCAGTTTATGTGATCGTCAACTTGGAAAATGATTAAAATTCACAAGGAAAATTACCAGTTTTGCTGTATATAATTTTTGTTTTGTTTTGTTTTGTTTTTTGTTTTGTTTTGTTTTGTTTGGAGACAGTCTTGCTCTGTCACCCAGGCTGGAGTGTAGTGGCACGAGTTCTTGGCTCACTGCAATCTCTGCTTCCTGGGTTCAAGCATTTCTTATGCCTCAGCTTCTCAAGTAGCTGGGATTACAGGTCTGTGCCACCAAAGAATCTCCTGCGTCAGTAAGGTGACGTCTAAGTCTTAGGAAGAAAACCCCAGTCAGTCTGTCCTACCATAATGTGCCCCACCTGGGGTGAATAGGGACAGTTGGGCGAAACCTCCATTGGCTGATCAGCTTCAGCATTTCAGGTGTGGTGGTTTTCTCCTTGAAAGCTGCTCCTCATTTCTAGAGTTTATGGGAATAGGGTACTAGGTGTTACAGTGTACCTCTTACTGGCCTGCAAAATCAGATATCCTCAGAGGAACAGGGTACATGCCAGCCTTAGCGGAATTTAATTTTCCAGTGACTATAAACAAGAAGACACATCATCATGTCTTGGAAATCTTGCATAGAACTGCATGCTAACTGCAGCTGTAGGAGGCAGGGCGTTTGCCGCCACTGCCAAACTAGTCCAGGGCTCCCTGGTATCTAGCTGTGTACTCGCCTGATGGAGACCTTAAACTCCCTTTGAGGGCCCTTTGAATTTGATACCACAAAGACTGTGAAATTCTCTGGGAGCATGGTTGGTTGGAGATGAGAAGTTTTTTCACAGAAGCACCTGGTCGCCTCACCGCTGGCACAGGTCACAGAGGACAATGGGACTGAGTGAGTTTTAGATTACTGATGTACATAGAAGCAGAAGCCACCTGCCACAACCTGGATCACTGCCACTGGCATCAGAGCCAGTGAGGAGTAGAATATGCCTTTGTCTTGTCCTGGCAGTTCCTCAGGCTGGATAAGTGTCTGCACCTGCCCAGCCCTGCCTCTGCTATTTTTAACTCAGTAAATTGTAATTACATGTTGTAATAGCAATGAAAGGATTTTCCAGTCTTTTTTTTCTTTTTCTGAGAGACACAGTCTCACTCTGTCTTCCAGGCTGGAGTGTAATGGCACAATCTTGGCTCACTGCAATGTTCACCTCCCAGGTTCAAGTGATTCTCCTACCTCAGCTTCCCAAGCAGCTGGGACTACATGCATGCGCCATCGCATCCAGCTGATTTTTTAATTTTTTTGTAGAGACAGGGTTTTACTATATGTTGGCCAGGCTGGTCTCAAACTCCTAACCTAAAGTGATCCCACCCACCTCAGCCTCTGAAAGTGCTGGGATTGCTGGCATGAGCCACTGTGCCCAGCCAGGATTTTCCACTCTTGAAAGGAGTATTTTGTTGTCACTTCAACTCACTATTTTTTTTCCAGACAACCTCAAATGGGACCACACTACAGCTTGTATGCAACAAGACAGTTTATCTTGTCCATGGGGTAAGTGTATGCCTGATCTTTTTAATTCAGTACAATCTCTGAAGGTGTTAATGCTAATGTTTTACGAGAATGTAGAGACTACTCGGTGCTATGAAGCTTGTTATACAACTCACACAATTGCTACAAAACACCAGGGAGGGTTTTTTGTGTGTGTTTTTTCATTTTTAAAACTTTTTTTCAGGCCGGGCGCGCTGGCTCAAGCCTGTAATCCCAGCACTTTGGGAGGCCGAGGCGGGTGGATCACGAGGTCAAGAGATCGAGACCATCCTGGTCAACATGGTGAAACCCCGTCTCTACTAAAGCTACAA